AAAAAAAAAAAAAAAAAAAAAACAGAAAAAGTATGGCCTGAATTTTGTTTCTGAAGGCATGTGCATGACTGGTTTGTTTTTTAAGGATGATACCCAGAAATGAACATAATATTAGAATTTATAGTAAAAAATATTGAGGTGCCAAGTGCATTAGTAATGGCCGAGAAAAAGAAGAGTATAAAATTGTTCAACACAGCAGCTTAAACTTCTCATTCTGTCAAGATCAGGATCCAACCTGACCTAGGCAAAAGGAAGAAAAACTGACCATGAAATCCAGCAATCAAACAGCACTGTGATTTGCTATCATAAATATGTTATGCAATGACGTTTGCTTTGAATAAGACAGTAGCCTCAATGCCTTACTGATGAAAAGGCACCTTTCTTGTCCTGATTCTAATATGGCATGTAAAAACACAAGGCAAGAATAATGGAAAATTTAAGTGATAAAACATGCACATTTTCCCCAAATTCAAATTAGTAGCAGTTAGGAACTGATTTGAGAATGCACTACTCTTTTGGTTGTTGTTGTTAATTTTTTTTTTTTTTTTTTGAGAAACAAATAGCAATGGGACAGTTTCAAAACCGATTAGGAGGACAGTTTCAATAATTAATACACTGCATATTGTTGTCTTCATAGTGGTTATTCAGAGTACAAGATGCAGACATGATATCCTGTCCAAACACTATTAGTACAAATCTGTCAAGAATGCACTACTCTTAATCCAGTCTTCACCAACTTGCAAACTAATTCAAACAGGACTATCTCCAAAGTAAATCTGGTGAACTTGCTATGAAAATGTAGATCTACAGCAAGTCCCAGATTCCTCTGTTCTCCTCCAGTTGCTGTTCCTGAAGCCCAACAACATAAAAATTCTGGAAATGTTTTTGCTGATAAGTCACCTAATATTGTTTCATTAAATAAAATGTGCTAGTGCACACTTTGTTGAATAAAATGTATATATGAAAAGCATATATATACACATATATTAAAATGGATAAAAATAGGATTTTTCAATAAATAAATGGCTTTTATGGACAGAGAAGAGGGTCTGTATAATAATCATTGTTGAGTATACACCCTTTCATGTTGCAGCTCTGGGAGTTAATGCAGAGAATTTGCAAGCAGCTGAACACTGTCCATAAAGAGCCAATTAATAGTCGAGGTTTCATGGGCCACAGTCTCTGTCACAAATACATGCTCCACTTTGCTATTGCACCATGGATTCAGGCAAAGACAATATTCAGACATGCATGCATGGCTGTGGTTTACCAACACTATACTAGCAAAAGAGAGAGAATCAACAGAAGGTTGACGATCTCTATTTTAATGGACAGAAAGCAATTTAGGTATTGTTTAACAGACACCAGCTAGAAAAATGGAAACACTAAGAAGGAAGATGAAGGCTGAGGAGATAGCTTGGTGATCTAAGCACCTGCTTGGCAAGTATAAGGACCAGGGTTTGATCCCTGACACCACATGCTGTGCCAGCTCTGCTCCCAGGGTGCACTGAGCTGGCCACTGAAACTGAGCACGGTGGTGCACATGTGTAATCCCAGCACTGGGGAGGCTGAGACAGGAGGGTCACTAAGAGTCCAAGCTGTGTAGTTGGACCCTATACTAAATAAATAAAATATTTTTAAAAAATTAAGAAAAGAAAGATGAATAGAAGTGGCATTAGGTAATTTCAATAAGAGAAGGCTTCAGAGTAAATCAGGAATAGAATTAAGTGGCTATGAAGGACACAGCCAGCATATGGTGTTTTGAAACTTGCACATTGAAATATAGAAATATAAGCAGAAATTCTCACTTAATGTGCAAGAGCAGATATTTATGAGGATTTTCTCTAATCAGAATGACGTAAGTATATTTCTCCGGATAATTGTTCCAAGTGTGTCTGCTGGAATGGTTTTTAATGGGGGTCATATTTTCTTTTGATGGGAATTACAGGAGAGAAACCCACTGTTCCATGAAATCACAATTCATACTAGTTGTTTCAGGTGTAGGTAAATATGACGCAACTCTTCTGCAACAGCATGTTCATTTTCCCTGGGTTTTCTGGTGGGGAGACTGACGCTCATGCTCTTTCCTATTCAAGGTTAAAGCTGGACTTGGTGTTAATATTCTCGGTGTTGCTGTGGTGATGCTCGGCATGTTTACCTGGATTTCAACCATGTTTGACTTGGAAACTTACCCGCCTTGGGCTCCTACAATTAGTAATGTGACCGTGCCATGAAAAGCACAGAGTTTGTTACTATCTTTTGGTGACTTTGGGGGAACCATTAAGAATTCGCTGGAACTTAGGACTGTGGGTAACTAAAGAAAATTAAGGCAGTCGTAGTATAGCTGCTGCGATTCCAATGTACGTGCAAAACCAGCTGTCCTGATTCAGACGCCATATTTCCATTGGGCCATGACTGAAGAGTACCTGTCTGCCTTCTCTGAGAGCCTAGGGTTGAGATTTTGCTCATGGATTGCCTGTGTCTTGCTCCCTCATAAGAATAACTTATAATTTGACTTTCACAGAGGTCAAGCCATTTTGTTTACCTTAGAATCAGAGTTCAGTATAATATCTCAAGCAGTAATTTATTAGAAAACTTTTATTCAGAAACTATGAAATTAAAGACAGAAAACATAGTATACAAGTTAATTAGCTATTGGGACACATCATTTCTATAGTGTTGTTCAAAACTTGCTAAAAGAAAACACCAAAGCTATAGTCATCTGGTGGTGCAGAAAAATTGTAAAATTCAACAGATTATTCTTAATACACATAAGATAAAATTTAAATTGAACTAGTACATAGTTCTAAATTTATAATTGGATCACAGAAAACTCATTGGTAATGATGGATTTCTACTTGATTTGATTGGTAGATTAATGGTCCACACTTCCCTGGCATCTGCACTGAGAAATGTGTTTTGGATAGCTATGAACAAGGCTTGATAAAATTTGTGCTATTTATACAGTATAGTTAGAAAAACCAGTGAAACTATCACCAACTTTAAGTGCTTATCTTATTTTAGAAATGTGGAATTTCATCTGTTAAAAAGGAAACATAGAAATATAAATGAATTATCAGTATGTACATGGAAATAAAAAGGTCTTATGTGTCCTCACATCAAAACTCTAATAGAATATTAGTGAGAAAATAAATAATAAATTTTAATTTAAGACATTTACCAAAGAGGTCACTTATGAGCAAGCCATATAAAAAGAAAATGAACCTGAACATTAAAACAAAAATAAGATGTGAGAAAGAATAATGTCTGTTTGCATGCTAAGATGAGAATAGAGTGAATAAAATGACAATTAAATACAAAATATGGCCTACTTGGCAAGTGCAAGGTTCTGAGTTTGATTCCTGCTACCAAAAAACAAAACAAAAGATGGAAATGTTACATCACAGAATTCTTATGCTGAAAAGGTGATAGAAAACAAGGTCAAAAACCCCACCTTATTTGTTATTATATTTGTGTAATTTGTTATTTTTAGTATTTGTCTGTACTTTTCTATATGTTACAAATCTGTAGTTGTTTGAAACTTGCAAAAAAAAACCAAAGCTATATTCATCTGGTTGTCCAGAAAAATTGTAAAACTCAATGGATTATTCTTAATGCACATAGGATAAAATTGAAATTGTTATTGAAATCAATTGATTAAATGGATGGTTGATAAATTATTTTAAATAATGTTTCTTTTAAATTTTATGTGAAGAATTGCTGTTAATTATGTATTAATTAATCAATATGAAATTTATCCTTTTTTGAGGAGAAATTCGTAAATTTAAAACAAAATACACTACTTGTGCTTTGTGGGAACTGTTTAAGTTCATCCTATTCTATTGTTCTTTTTCCTATTATATGTTATACACATTTTTTTATGATCCATAGTATTGATTATTTATCTCCACTTCCAGTCATTCAATGTATCACTGCTGAATTGGGTTATATAATGGGTGTATTTTCATTGTAAAAAAATAAAATGACTTTTCAAATTATTATGAGCAAGTTTTGGCCGCCAGAAAATAATGTAAACATTTCAGCTTCAATAATTTCATTGAACTATTTCTGACTGCTGCCAACATAGTACAAAAAAAGTAACTCTCAGTCCAACTTTGTTTCATTGAACCATAAAGTTCTCTAGCTACATCTTGATGTCTGACTCATATACCAAAAATGACTTCTTTCTCTCACATTTGTCCCATGTACATCCCAGTTTATGGCTCTTTTAGTTTGAGGATTGCATAGTGTCTTTGAATGTTTCTAAAAAGCAGTGTTAACCAGATGATCAAATGTATCATTGTCTTTGAACTCTATGGTAGATAGAGTTTTTGTTATTATCTTGAACATTACTTACAGGTTAGCTAGAAATCTTTGTCACTTTAAGTTGTAATATCTCTCTTAGGATTGCATCCATCTTGTCTAAATAATAGCACCAATTTCACTAGCTGCCTATTTACTGCCTCCTCATACAAGCACTTGAAGAGTTCTGTTGACACATGTGTACCTTTCACACTCCTAGCTGCAGCTGTGCATGCAAGTGCCTTCGCATTCCAGACACCATTTCTTTCAAGTGTGCATTCTCATTTTACCTAGTATTCAAGTATTTTTTTCTACCTTTTCCAGCTTGGGAGGCAAGGAAGTACATTTTAGCTGCTATTATGAATTATTAGAGAGAAATGGCAAAACAATATCATTACGCATTGAGTATGTCTTGACACGTGCATTATATAATGTTATTGGATATCTTTGTATATTTTGCCATAGCTAAGTATTTGATAAACCCTTTGTGGTGGTGCCTTTTTACAAAAATGCATGAATTTCTTCAAGATAGCTGTTATCTTTACTTGAATTATAGATTTTATAAAATTTTATGTGTCTTATTTCTTATTTCTAATAGGAGGTGGGCTGTACTACTTCTGAAAGGGTAAGACCAGACAAACTCAATTGTATTATGACATAATCTGAAAAAGAAAATAGTTAAACTTATTACTGCAGAGTAGCATTAGCCATATTATTACCAAATGAAGCTTTTTAGTTTAATAATTATTTTCTAGAGAAGTCATGGAAATGCAAATACCAAAGCCATATGTCTCCATTGCAAAAGCAGATCAGGCTAGTCAAGGAATAAACAATAAAAATGGCACATAACTGAGGTAGGAATTTAAAAGGTGTTTCCAAACAGGACAGCACTCATTTGTTTTTCTCACTGATAGTGTAGTGGCATAAATACTAGAGAGGAAAATTATTCTTGAGGTTAAATAATAATAATAATAATAATAATAACAACAACAACAACAGTGGTCATAGTAGTAGTAATATAACAGACAGCACTGTAATAGCAAGGAAGTAATGGAAGTCCTCAAAAGATAATAACAAAGTTTGAGCAACAATCTTGACATTTAAATGAGAACTAGAGTTGGTATCGCATCTTCCAATTCCCACATATCTCGAAATTCTGTCTTAATAAAAACACAAGAAACACAGAATAGGAGTCAAAGCTAGTAAACAACTATGTTAGGAAGACAAAGGAGAACTGGAAGTAGGAGCTGAAAAGATTATATTCTCAATGAAAATGTGAGCTAAGAAAAAAATTCCTTGGGTGGAGATCATCAGAAGAAGTTCTGTATTATGGCTAAAGCACTAGGTAAAAAGAGATTAAAATCTCCAGTGCACTTATAAACAGACATGTTTAAACACTAGCATTAATACCAGTATATGAGGACAAGACAATCAGAAAATTGGTTTCAAAACCATTCTGAGGGATGGGGACTCAGTGGAATAAGCACTTCCCTGGCAAGTGCAAGGGCCTGAGTTCAATCCCCAATTCTGCTGAAAAAAAGAAAAAAAATCTGAATTTGTATGATTTTGAAGCTCCTCGCAAAGCAGGAAATATGTTCTTTAACCGGACACTCAAAATTTGCTAACTATAAGGTTGATATTTTATTTAAAACTCACAAATTCCAAGACATGAAACATAATGTAAAGAGCACAAA